GAGCCACTGTGTGGTTGCTGGGAATTGAACCCAGGACCTCTGGAAGAGCAGCCAGTGCTCTTAACCTCTGAGCCATCTCTCTAGCCACTAACATGCTCTTGTAACCCAGCACTTGAGTCTATGAGGAAGTGGATTATACATTTTATTCCATGCAGATGTGCACAGTGAGACCTGTCACAGAAACCTTCAAACATTTTGATCATGAAGAAGTATTTCACATTAAAAAATATGAAAAGGAATAAAGCAAGAACACATGAAAATTTGCATTTCTTATGTGTACTATTCATACATGTCTGCTATCACCTGGTGTTGACAAAGATGAGGACAGATGAGACAGACACTGGCGGGATTTTGGAAATGACATCCATTAAATATTGATGGTGTCTACTGCCTGACCTAGACACAAACGAAGGGAATTCAGAGACTGGTGTGTGAGGAGGGCAGTTCCCCTTCCTGTGGGGCTGCTGAAGCACAACCATGTCATGGGGAGGGCCCTGCCTCCAGAGGCCACACCCTATGTCTCCGGCCCCTTCAGACAGACTCTGTAACTCTGACCTTAAACACAGTAGGAGCCTCCAGGAGGAGACGCCATGACCGTCTCCTTCACAGCCCTGCTCTGTCTGGGTGAGATGTGGAGATGGGGAGGGACACTGTGCTCTGGGATTGATGCTGCCCCACGGCCCAGCACGGGTCAGTTAGGAAACCCCAGGCTCTTAGGAGGTTCTGCAGAGGGGAGGACCTTCTGAAGCTTCAGGGACAAACCTCTCACAGGGAACTCTCTTCTAGGGCTGACTCTGGGCCATGGGACACCAGTGCTGGCAGGTGAGTGAGTGTCTGCAGATGTCCTGACATCACTGTTCATCATTCCTGGAGTCATGCTGGGCAGTGAGGATGGAAACCAACACATGTGTGCTGCCCCTGGGGAGGTCTGAGGGTTGGGATCAGGGGCTGCATTCTGAGGGTGGCTGCCCTGAGTCCTAGCTGATCTTTTCCTTGCAGGAACTCTCCCTAAGCCTATCCTCAGAGTACAGCCAGAATCTGTGGTCTCTGTACAAACTACAGTAACCTTCCTGTGTGAGGGGACCAAGGGAGCCCAAGGATACGTCTGTATAATAATACAAACCAATATTTAACATACAGAGAGACCATACCAAATACTAAGAACAGGGCTGAATTCTCAATCTCAAAAATAGCCCCTCTGGATGCAGGGCGATATCACTGTCAATACTGGACCCGTGATGGAAGGTCAGAGCACAGTGATACCCTGGAGCTTGTGGTGACAGGTGAGAGGACTCACAGAGTCCACAGCCTCAGGTTTGTCTGTCAAGAAGTGTTCTGTACACAGGGATGACTCCCCTCACAGCCCTGGAGGGTAAAGAGGCCTTGGAGGGCATTTAACTGATTCTCCTTCTCTCCTAGGGGCCTACAGTAACCCCAGCCTGTCAGCCCATCCCAGCCCTGTGGTGACTGAAGGAGGGAGTGTCACCCTCAAGTGTGTCTCAAGGCAACCATATCACAAGATCTTTCAGACTAAGGCAGGACCACAGAAGGTCTTCTGGACACGGAACTCAGAGTTCAACTACTCTACTTGGCAGTACCAGGCCCAACTCCGTGTGGATGCTCTGACCTCGAGCCAAAGGTGGACATTCAGATGCTACAGCTTTAATGAGAACAACCCACTGATTTGGTCAGAACCCAGTGACCCCCTGGAGCTCTTGTTCTCAGGTGAGGAGGCAAAAACTTTCCACAGAATGATGTTGGAATGACAGGTCCTGAGGGAGGCCTTGGTGTGTGGTGTGTGAGGAGCCAGGGCTCCTGAGCCCATTGACACAGATCGTGGGAGACAGAGGGACACAAGATACAGAACCCAAGGGACACAGTGACAGCAAAGCTTAGGAGGTCCAAGACAGACAGGAATCTTCATGGGCTCCTCTGTTACTCTGCATCAGCTTAAATGGCATCCATCAGAGCTCAGGGAACTCCATAGAAGAGAGAGGAAGGGTTGGTGAAGCCAGAGCACTCAGGACACCAGGAGATCACAGCCCACAGGATCAGCTCAGCAGGGACCAGCAGGGCTCACAGAGACTGAAGCAGCCACCAAGGCACATGCTTGGGTCTTCCCTAAGCCCTCTGCACACAGGCTGTGCTGGTTTGTTTACCCTGGCTTCTTTTTATTTTTTGTTTCTTAGAGATTCACTGTGTAGCCCTGTCTGTCCTGGCTGTCACTCTGTAGACCAGGCTCGCCTTGAAATCAGAGAGATCTGCCTTCATTTGCCTCCTGAGTGTTGGAATTAAAGGTGTGCACCACCCCTGCCTGACTAGCTTGGGTTTTTGTTAGAATCATGACAATAGGAGTGTGGAAGTCTCTGACTCTTTTGCCTACACAGGGGATCTTTTTCCTCCTAATGTGTTGCCTTCTCCAGCCTTAACAGGAGGGTGTTTGCCCAGTCTGACTGCATGTTGTTATGTCATGTTCCATTAATATCACTGGGAACCCTGCTCTGTTCTGAAGGGAAACAGAGTAGCCATGGATCTGGGGTGAGAGGGAAGTGAGGGGGCTGCTTTAATTGACAGGAGAATCAATTAAATAGAAAAAAAGAGGTACCTTCCGCCATTGTGACTCTCCTGTGCCACTTTCAGAGAGACCCACCTCCTTCTCTCCTATTTCCTTGCAGGGATCCTCCACAAACCCACCATCAAGGCTGAGCCAGGCCCTGTGATTGCTTTAGAAAGTGCAGTGACCATCTGGTGTCAGGGGACCCTGGATGCAGAAATGTTTCAGAAAGAAGGAAGCCAAAAGCCATGGGGCACACAGTCCCCAGAGAAGCCTGGCAAAAGGGCCAAGTTCTCCATCCCTTATGTGACACAGCACCATGGGGGGCAATATCGCTGTTACTGTTACAGCTCGGCTGGCTGGACAGAGCGCAGTGACACCCTGGAGATTGTGGTGACAGGTGAGGGGACACTCGGGGTCTCAGCCCCAGGCTCTGCTCTCATGAGTACTCCCCATCCCCACCCTATCCCTGGAGAGCATTGTGACTGTTTAATCCTATGTAACAGATTTTTCTTCTGTCCTAGGAATGTACAACAGTAAACCCAGTCTGTCAGCCCTGCCCAGCCCTGTGGTGACCTCAGGAGGGAACGTGACTCTCCAGTGTGTCTCACGGGTTAGATATGACAAGCTCATTCTCACCAAGGAAGATGAGAAGTTCTCCAGCTCCCTGGACTCACAGTATATAAACAATAGG